AAAAAAAAAAAAAAAAATTTGTTTCATTTCCAAGCCACTTCTTGATTTGATAAGCTCTTGCACAATAACACAGCTTAGACAATATGCGAAATATCTTATGTTGGAACCTAGGCCGAAAGTTGAAATTGATGTCAAAATGGAATGTCAAAACATTGTATCAGGCTTGCAAAAAGGGAACATCAACTAATAGTCTTCTTGGTTGTGTTCATTTTGTTTCTTGCTTTGCAGGTTGATAGCTTTGTGAAGATATTTCCTGGTGTTGCTCATGGATGGACAATGAGGTACAAAGATGATGATGAATCAGCTGTCAAGAGTGCTGAAGAGGCTCATGGGGACATGTTAAATTGGTTTACCAAGTATGTTAAATGAAAAAATTCTACATGAATTTGGGTCTGAAAATGGGTTATGTAAACGTTTTTGAGTTAATAAACCGAATCAAGAGATTACATTACCGAGATTATGAACTTTATGCACTGGTAATGTAAACTATTGTATTCAAGTTGATGTAATGTTTGCAGAAGCAGTTTGATGTTTAAAATCTGCGTATTATCGAGATATTTTTCTCGAGGAAAATAGTTTGTATTTCGATCCAATCCAAGTTATCCTTTTGATTCAATCCCGCCACCCCCATTTCACTCAACCCGTGGTTTCTTGGACGGTTGATCAACCAGTGCCAAACAGCCACAATTCTCCCATTTTCGGGATTGCAAAATTTGAAATTGTTGTTATCCTTTGGGTAATCTGGAATGATTGGGAATAAAGTTGTTTTTGAACAGTTACAGCCAAGCCCTCATCTCTATTCTTCAATTAGGGGTGGCTTCCACTCCAACAGAGTTGGAAGGTACTTATCTAACCTTCGACTTCGACTAGAGTCGGGGGAGATTTTGTCCTCTAATTCAAACTCCGAACTACTATTACTTCAATTCTATCTTGTTGGAGGCGGAGCAGAGCGGAGTTCGGATTAAGGCCAATATTTGTTGGATTTTTTAATGTTTTTTTTAAATTTTTTTCTAGGATTTAGACCAATTTTTATACTGGGCAATGAGTAGCATTTTATAAATTTATATTATTTAATAAATTTTCATATAATAATCAATTATATAATTTATACTTTATATAAAATTATTTATTGATAAAAATTAGAGTCAAGGTTTTTTTAGAAATGATTTTCAGACTCCGACTCCACCTCTACCTCCGTTAAACTCCGACTTTAAAGAAGGCTGAGTCAAATTTTTTGATTGTAGCAAACCCCTATTCCATTTCCCTTGGCAATGACATGATAATTTTCATCTTTTCTTCAACAAATATTAGTACATGTTTTCAAAAAATAACATACCAAAATTCAATCAATAAAAGTAGATATATCTACTATTGTTAGCTATTATACTTATGAATATCGCCGTTCTCTTTGTGGACTTTAAGATTGAGAGTTTAAATTTCATCGGCTTTTTCTTTATAATAATATTTAAAAAAAATAGATATATCTATAAAAATCTTATGATATGAAAATGATACCAAAATTGATAAAATGTTGGATTTCAGTTTGATTAATATACAATAATTATTTAAAAAGATAATATAAATAATACAAATTTAAAAATAAAAATTAACATGCGTTAAATTTTTATTGGATGAAATATCTTTGGTCCAATGGGTTAAAGCGTAAATTGATCGGTAATGACTTCAAAGTACTCAACCTGTGACGTAAGTAGTGACTTAAATTGATTAGTTTAATGGATCAATTAATACAGATGACATAATTTAGGGGTGATTTATGTAATTAAACCAAACTATTTACTTATCTGTCTCACTCTCGGTCTCTCTCTCTCTCACAGACACACAGTGGTCATCGCCGCCCATCAAAACTGTCACGTCTCCCACCTACATCAGCACCACTATCATCATTCACCTTACTAGATATTTAATTTTTTTTTTCTCACCCCTAAATTTATAATTTTATTTTGAGTGTAAATATAAATATATTTATGATTGACAATTTTATTTATTATTCTGTACTTTCAGACACGAGTAATAATTAATTTTTTTTATATTGTACCCTTCATATATAAAAAATATTACAATTTGGCCTTANTTGTATTTCGATCCAATCCAAGTTATCCTTTTGATTCAATCCCGCCACCCCCATTTCACTCAACCCGTGGTTTCTTGGACGGTTGATCAACCAGTGCCAAACAGCCACAATTCTCCCATTTTCGGGATTGCAAAATTTGAAATTGTTGTTATCCTTTGGGTAATCTGGAATGATTGGGAATAAAGTTGTTTTTGAACAGTTACAGCCAAGCCCCCATCTCTATTCTTCAATTAGGGGTGGCTTCCACTCCAACAGAGTTGGAAGGTACTTATCTAACCTTCGACTTCGACTAGAGTCGGGGGAGATTTTGTCCTCTAATTCAAACTCCGAACTACTATTACTTCAATTCTATCTTGTTGGAGGCGGAGCAGAGCGGAGTTCGGATTAAGGCCAATATTTGTTGGATTTTTTAATGTTTTTTTTAAATTTTTTTCTAGGATTTAGACCAATTTTTATACTGGGCAATGAGTAGCATTTTATAAATTTATATTATTTAATAAATTTTCATATAATAATCAATTATATAATTTATACTTTATATAAAATTATTTATTGATAAAAATTAGAGTCAAGATTTTTTTAGAAATAATTTTCAGACTCCGACTCCACCTCTAACTCCGTTAAACTCCAACTTTAAAGAAGGCTGAGTCAAATTTTTTGATTGTAGCAAACCCCTATTCCATTTCCCTTGGCAATGACATGATAATTTTCATCTTTTCTTCAACAAATATTAGTACATGTTTTCAAAAAATAACATACCAAAATTCAATCAATAAAAGTAGATATATCTACTATTGTTAGCTATTATACTTATGAATATCGCCGTTCTCTTTGTGGACTTTAAGATTGAGAGTTTAAATTTCATCGGCTTTTTCTTTATAATAATATTTAAAAAAAATAGATATATCTATAAAAATCTTATGATATGAAAATGATACCAAAATTGATAAAATGTTGGATTTCAGTTTGATTAATATACAATAATTATTTAAAAAGATAATATAAATAATACAAATTTAAAAATAAAAATTAACATGCGTTAAATTTTTATTGGATGAAATATCTTTGGTCCAATGGGTTAAAGCGTAAATTGATCGGTAATGACTTCAAAGTACTCAACCTGTGACGTAAGTAGTGACTTAAATTGATTAGTTTAATGGATCAATTAATACAGATGACATAATTTAGGGGTGATTTATGTAATTAAACCAAACTATTTACTTATCTGTCTCACTCTCGGTCTCTCTCTCTCTCACAGACACACAGTGGTCATCGCCGCCCATCAAAACTGTCACGTCTCCCACCTACATCAGCACCACTATCATCATTCACCTTACTAGATATTTAATTTTTTTTTTCTCACCCCTAAATTTATAATTTTATTTTGAGTGTAAATATAAATATATTTATGATTGACAATTTTATTTATTATTCTGTACTTTCAGACACGAGTAATAACTAATTTTTTTTATATTGTACCCTTCATATATAAAAAATATTACAATTTAGCCTTATCGTTAGTTTTCAATATAACTACCTGATTCAGCTTATATTCGACTCATAGAGGGGTTCAACTTGAGTTCAACTCGTCGAATTCAAATCATGTTCTAAACTTGTTTAAAAAAATAAGTCTAAAAAGACTTGGTTAAAAATCGTAAAGTTCAACTCATTTATATNATTAATTTTTTTTATATTGTACCCTTCATATATAAAAAATATTACAATTTGGCCTTATCGTTAGTTTTCAATATAACTACCTGATTCAGCTTATATTCGACTCATAGAGGGGTTCAACTTGAGTTCAACTCGTCGAATTCAAATCATGTTCTAAACTTGTTTAAAAAAATAAGTCTAAAAAGACTTGGTTAAAACTCGTAAAGTTCAACTCATTTATATTTAAAATAGTAAAGTTACTCATACTCGACTTGAGTTCGACTCGTTTTATAATCAAGTTGAGTTTGAACAATGTTTTAGGCTTGTTTAAAAAAACAAGCTCGACTAACTTGGTTCGAATTTACGGGGCTTAGCTCAANAATCGTAAAGTTCAACTCATTTATATCTAAAATAGTCAAGTTACTCATACTCGACTTGAGTTCGGCTCGTTTTATAATCAAGTTGAGTTTGAACAATGTTTTAGGCTTGTTTAAAAAAACAAGCTCGACTAACTTGGTTCGAATTTACGGGGCTTAGCTCAATTATAAGCGCCAACGTCGATCAGGGGATTTTTGATAAAAAAAAAAAAAAAAATGAGCAACAAAAGTTAAACGCAGAGCCACGTTGTAATATTTTAATATATTTAAAATATAATATAAAAGTTTACTCTTTGATGATGCAATAAATTTTTTAAATCTTTTGGATTACAGAGTGCGATTTTGAACTTTTTTAAAAATATTTTGAAATATTAATTAACATCTACCAAAATATTTAAAAATATTTTCTAAATAATGGTAAAAATATATTAAAATACTTCAAAATATTATGAAATTCGTAATATGACTCCCAATTGTTGAATCTATTACCAAAATACCGGAGTTTTAAATCTTAAATACCAATCTACAGTCATTTTGAATTTATTTACCAAACTACTGCTGTTTTAAAAGGGTAAGTGCAAAATCCGATTTCATTTAAAAACGGATGTAATAATTCTGACTTTAACACCAAAAGCGTATTTGACAATTACGCTTTTAAGTGAAAAATTGCTCTGCTCCTGAGGCTGTCAGCGGCTCAGTGACTGACCTTATAAAAAAAGTAATAAATTATACTCATGTAGTTTATAGTTCTTGTTTATTACAATAATAGACTTATATTTTATGNTGCAAAATCCGATTTCATTTAAAAACGGATGTAATAATTCCGACTTTAACACCAAAAGCGTATTTGACAATTACGTTTTTAAGTGAAAAATTGCTCTGCTCCTGAGGCTGTCAGCGGCTCAGTGTACTGACCTTATAAAAAAAGTAATAAATTATACTCATGTAGTTTATAGTTCTTGTTTATTACAATAATAGACTTATATTTTATGATATTATATTGACCATTTTATTTGTTTCATTTTGATATTAGATATTTTTTTTCAAATTTTCGCACAAACTTTGTTCCAGCATTCTTTTTAACACTATTATTCTTTATTTGAACAACAGTATTCTTAAATTTTATTTTTTGAACGTATTAAAATTTGAGCTGATTTGAACTCTATCCGAGTTGTTAGCACATATTAAAATTCTCTTTCGAGTCGATTAAAATTTATATTTTTTTACTTANTCCAGCATTCTTTTTAACACTATTATTCTTTATTTGAACAACAGTATCCTTAAATTTTATTTTTTGAACGTATTAAAATTTGAGCTGATTTGAACTCTATCCGAGTTGTTAGCACATATTAAAATTCTCTTTCGAGTCGATTAAAATTTATATTTTTTTACTTATTTAAATCCATGTTAATTAAAATTTGAATCAATAAAAATTTATATTTTTTTATGTATTAAAGTTTGGACTTATTAAAATTCAATATGAGTTGATTTTTTTTTGGGGGGAGGGGAGGGGGAAAATGACTTGAACCCTTGATCTCAAGAAAACAAAACTTTTACAATGTAAAGAGTACAATNGTTTATTAATATTTGAATCAATAAAAATTTATATTTTTTTATGTATTAAAGTTTGGACTTATTAAAATTCAATATGAGTTGATTTTTTTTTGGGGGGAGGGGAGGGGGAAAATGACTTGAACCCTTGATCTCAAGAAAACAAAACTTTTACAATGTAAAGAGTACAATTAAAATTTGATTTAAGTTGATTAAAAATAATTTTTAATTAGCTCAAATAAAATTAAAAATTAAAAATAAACTTAGATTTAAGGATACTGTTGTTCAAATAAAGAATNTGGGGGGGAGGGGAGGGGAGGGGGAAAATGACTTGAACCCTTGATCTCAAGAAAACAAAATTTTTACAATGTAAAGAGTACAATTAAAATTTGATTTAAGTTGATTAAAAATAATTTTTAATTAGCTCAAATAAAATTAAAAATTAAAAATAAACTTAGATTTAAGGATACTGTTGTTCAAATAAAGAATAACAGTGTTAAAAAGAATGCTGGAACAAAGTTTGAGTGAAAAATTGAAAAAAATATCTAATATCAAAATGAAACAAATAAAAGGGCCAATAAAATATCATAAAATATAAGTCTATTATCGTAATAAACAAGAACTATAAATGACATGAGTGTAATTTATCACTTTTTTATAAGGTCAGTATACTGAGCTGTTGGCAGCCTCGAAAGCAGAGCAATTGATCACTTAAAAGCGTAATTGTCAAATACGCTTTTAGTGTTAAAGTTGGAATTATTACATCCATTTTTTCAGATAAAATCGTACTTATTAAATCCGCTTTTAAATAAAATCAGATTTTGTATTTTCACTTTTAAAACAACAGTAGTTTGATAAATAAGTTCAAAATAACTGTAGATTGGTATTTAAGTTTTAAAACTCCGATATTTTGGTAATAAATTCCCCATGAGACACCATGCGTAATACGCTTTAATGCCTTCCAATCCAAGTCCCCTTCAACCTTTACACCCGCTCCACCCATCTAGACTCTGGGCTATTATTTAGAATANAAACAACAATAATTTGGTAAATAAGTTCAAAATAACTGTAGATTGATATTTAAGTTTTAAAACTCCGGTATTTTGGTAATAGATTCCCCAATTGTTGAGACACCATGCGTAATACGCTTTAATGCCTTCCAATCCAAGTCGCCTTCAACCTTTACACCCGCTCCACCCATCTAGACTCTGGGCTATTATTTAGAATAATTTTATTGAAATCTTATTTATTCATCTAATTTATTAAAATTATTAAATTAATGATGGGTCCATTTAATATTAGAAGTTCTACTCATCTCATACGATAATAAATTATGTCAATAAATCAAATTGTTAAATGAGATTGGAGTAGTTTTGTTAGTTTATTTAGAATCAAAATTTTATTTCGATGTATTATTTCGATTACTTAGAAAATATAAATAATTAAGAGATTTTATGAAAATAATTTGGAAACAACATATAAATGAATAAAGTATTTGAGAGTTTAATTGTAAAATATTTTGAAACAATTGCGAAAATATATCAAAATATCTCAAAAAATATAGATTTTTTGTTTGGGTCAATGGCTAGGGGTGTGACGGATGTCTAGGTCAACTTACATGCACATTGATTAATTTTCTCTCTGGTCTTATCAAAGGCAGATCATTCACGATAGGATTAGGGTATTTTTGAAAGATAAATTTTTTTTACCAAGTCCTAAGAGATTGCCAAGATTTAAACTTAGAACGTCAGAGTTTNATATTGATCTAAATATACTGAAATATATCAAAATATTTTGAAACAATTGCGAAAATATGTCAAAATATCTCAAAAAATATAGATTTTTTGTTTGGTTCAATGGCTAGGGGTGTGACGGATGTCTAGGTCAACTTACATGCACATTGATTAATTTTCTCTTTGGTCTTATCAAAGGCAGATCATTCACGGTAGGACTAGGGTATTTTTGAAAGATAAATTTTTTTACCAAGTCCTAAGAGATTGCCAAGATTTAAACTTAGAACGTCAGAGTTTACAGCTCGTCTCTATTTCCACTTGAATTATCACTTAAGGGTCGTTTGGTTGCAGTATTATGGGGTGTGTTAAGGAGTCATAATAAATTAAAACTAAGTTATCTAATCCAACCTTATACTGCATACGATTGCAAAAAAATTTTGTCTTGTTTACTTGCGGTATTAAAAATAGATGAATTGAATAAAGTAATACAGTTTCATATAATACAGATGAATAAAATACAAGATTAAATAAAGTACTAAAATAATACGTAATTTTATCTAATATTTGATAATACAAAACATAAGTGTTGGNACTTAAGGGTCGTTTGGTTGCAGTATTATGGGGTGTGTTAAAGAGTCATAATAAATTAAAACTAAGTTATCTAATCCAACCTTATACTGCATACGATTGCAAAAATTTTTTGACTTGTTTACTTGCGGTATTAAAAATAGATGAATTGGATAAAGTAATACAGTTTCATATAATACAGATGGATAAAATACAAGATTAAATAAAGCACTAAAATAATACGTAATTTTATCTAATATTTGATAATACAAAACATAAGTGTTGGATAATAACTATTTAATATAATCGGTTGTTTGGTTAGGACATTATTTCATGGTATTAATATTGAATTAACAAAAATACTCTTAATTAGTGTTTGTTACGTTAATGACATCTTGATTTTTTTAATTGTGGGGGTTATAATAATAAATATGTACAATAATATATTTGAGATGAATTTTAATATCACTTCTCTTGGTAGTATGAAAATACCTCTATAATATAGGTATATGGTATCAAAAATATACAATAAGTATATATTTTTAAAATTAATACGAAATCAAATTTATCTACCAAACAAAGTATTAGATCCAATTAAATAAATAATAATATAACACAATACTTAATCCACTTATGATACATCTACCAAACAAGCACATTATGTATTATATATAGTCTTATTTCAAAAACTTATTTGAACTGATTATAATACCATCGAAGAAAATTGTATTATAATTCAATTCAAGCGTATTAACTTATAAATTTATTATTGTACCCACTAAATAAACAAAAACATTAATAACTTGACAAGATTAATTGAATTTTTGGTCAATACGTAATTAAGACTCTATAATCTCACCGTTATCCAGTGTCTTACCGAACACTAGATTACAATGAATATTAATTTTATTCCATATTTAATCTTGTATTTTATTTATTTATACAAAATTAACCCATATTATGTAATACAATTATTTTTTTACTATACGGCAATCAAACGAACCTTAAAATTAAGAAGCTTCAAAATATTTTGAAAATTAAAATGCTTCAAAATATTCTTAAATACNTTTATTCCATATTTAATCTTGTATTTTATTTATTTATACAAAATTAACCCATATTATATAATACAATTATTTTTTTACTATACGGCAATCAAACGAACCTTAAAATTAAGAAGCTTCAAAATATTCTGAAAATTAAAATGCTTCAAAATATTCTTAAATATCTTAAAATATTGATATTTTAATTTTATTACTGTTTTATTTTGGTTACTCTTAAAAACAAAAACATTAGAAGTTTTTTAAAATGAAATTCTGGTGCTACAAATTTATATTAGGAAAAATTATATTCGAACCCCTAAAGTTTATATTATTAATATATCTGAGAGAGTATACCGGCCCGAGAAAAGCCCCCGCGAAAGCCTAATTTCCAAGGCAACGGACAAAATCCTGCAACGCAAGTGGTGACGTTGCTCAGCCAATATTTCTTCAAACTGTTTATACCTTCCTTCCTTCCGCTTCTCCTACCACAGTCTATATCCCTATCTCTCTCTCTCTATCCGTCACACACACACACACTCACAGCATACAGCTGTTTAACTATACAAACACTGAAGATGTCTGGCTCTCAGTGTTTTGAGAATCCACCAATCGTCAGCTCAACCTGTGGAGCAGGGAGTGTTCAAGAACTTGGAGGCTTCAAAACTTACGTCACTGGGTCACAAGATTCCAAGCTTGCCATCCTTTTAGTTTCTGATGCTTTCGGTAGCAACACATCTTCATTTGCTTCATCAATCCATGTTTATTGAGTTGAATTTCATCCATTCTTTCTTTCACATGCCTTGATTTCAATCTGCAAATTTCTCTAATGCTAGTTAAGTATACAAAAAAAAAATGATTATCTGAGATTGAACAAATGGTATTAGAGCCAAATTAGAGTCTCCCAGGTTGATTTATTTATTTATTTTTGTTGGGGGGGGGGGGGGGGGG